TCTGCCTCTTGTTCAGTCAGTTCACTGCTTATAGCTGCGAACCTGTGGCGCATGGAGCCCTCTCTGCGGGCACACTGAGCCCAGCTCAGCTCCACCACGCATGTGCACATGCTTCCCGCTAGCCAGCTGGTTTTTGGTTCTCTGCCACGCATGCACGAAGGCAGGACTCATGTGGGAGATGCGCCCGCATGCGTGGAAGTGGGAGGAGACCCCCCCATTTTTAGTCCCAAGAGGCTGCAGGGAGGCCTACTAGGCCCATAACAGGGTGCGGGGTCACGCATGTATACGCGGGAGCCAGGGCATGTTGGCATGCACACATGCACTTTCAGTGCACGATAACAAAAAGATTAGCCATCACTGCCTTATAGAATTGTGACTATCGTCTTTTACCTACTGTGAGCAAGTCCATCTACTTTTGCTTGAGTCAGTATAAAAGCAACAACATAAAATTAGCTGATTCCTTTGTTGCATCTGTTTATTCCTGGAGTGGATAAGGTTGTCCTGTTCTTCTGCTACTGCTGCCCCTTTTCAACATGTCATCAGACAGTGAGGAAAACCATGAGAATCGATGCATTGAAGCACTGCACTGAGTGGCCATTCAGAATACACTCCTCTAGTCTGATTTGTTTGATTTCTATCCCATGCCCCACGAGAGTGCCACTTTTTGGGGGGATGCATATGTGTCTTCAACTTAGTCTTGACTGCTGATCACTTCCTGAGCTATAGACTCTGCAGTTTTCTTTGCAGATTTTCAGAAATAGTTTGATATTCACTACTTTCTGAGGGAAAGGGACTGGAACCAGAGTCACCCAGCTGGTTTTGTGTCTATGTTCCCTCCTGTACTCTGCAGCACCCACCACCTGTTCATTCTCATCTACCTGTGTGCTCTACCACACTCCACTGCAACACCTTCCTGCCTGGCTATGCTCCCAGTAGTCACAGTAGTCACCTGCATGCTCTCCCAGACTTCACAGCAGCCAACCCATGCCTAGACATACTTGTGGTTCACGGCGGCGGCCATCTCTTCACCAGGCTGCCACTGGCCTGCTTGCAAGCTTCCCGAAACTTGCTACTTTGTGCCGGCTTCCACATTGACTTTGCTTGTTGGAAGCTAGCAGAAAGTTCTTACTTAACAGCTGACAAATCTCTTCTAACAATGGCAGCAGAGATTGCCAGGATTGCCGTTGTTAAGCCATGTAGTCACATGTTATGTTTTACAACCATATTGCTTAGTGACAGAAATTCCAATCCCAATTATCTTAGCTAAGTAAGGACTACATACTGTTTCAAGGTTGCTGATACCCCACGCATAAACACAATGTTCAAAGCTTTCAGATTCCAGGTTACAATTGTGGCTGTAATCACAAAAAATATGCCTATTATGCCTTATGGTGCAGATACACTTCAGGATATTCCTAAAGTAAATTAGCGGTAACATGTCCTTTCTTTCTGGAATGAAATTGTAAAGATCTGGTCCTTTCTCCTCTACTTTGATGGAAATCTTGGGAGAACTTAGTGTCAAATGTAGATGGAAGGTGAGAGATATGAAACGAAGTCAAGAAGCACAGTGCTTATGGAAAAGAGCAAATGCTAGGACAAAAATATCTTATGAAGACTGACTAGTTACCAGAAGGAGGGGATCTCTTCGCATCTCCTAACACTCTAAAATCAACCTCTGATCACCTGTTGGACATCGAAAGAGAAAAACAATACTTGTGTATACTAGTACAGTTTATAGCAACTTAAGGCTTTCTCATTTGTTGATTGGGAATATGAGAAAAACAACATTTTGATGCAAAGTAGGGGGTTCATATTGTCAAGGCATAGTTGTGCTACTGGCACAAAAGGACAAGCCATATGAGTGAGTCATTCTTCCAGTCATAAATGACACCCTGTGGTTTTGTTTTTTGGAGGCTCCTAGGAATTCTATTGTTATAATTATTTGCTAGTGCAAAATTGCAATTAAGTATGGTTATACTCACATTCCTTGGCATATAATTCTAAGAAATGTATATTATCCTAAAGCATATCCTCAGCTACACCAAATATATCTGCCTGAGACACTGCCAAATGTTTTCTGTCCCTTCTGGGCTTGTTATCCTTCATTGTCCTGACAAGGATCTTCCATATCTCTGTCAAGGCCACCTCCCTCATTCTCTACAGTGTTGTACTAATTATAATGCATCATTTGCTGCATATATTGATCTTCATATTGTTCTGTTGTCCCTTTGCTTGCACAAATAATTGTTAAATTTCATTAATTTTTGCACTATGTAGTTTTTAGTGACAATGCAGTTCTCAAACTTTGAGGAGCTACTGTGGCTATCAAGTATGAAAATTATTTTGCAACTTTGCAAAAGTAAAACAGTAAGGTTTAATTGAAATGGTAGGTAAGACAAATCACTTTAGACTTCATGAAAAATTACTCCATGGATGTTCAATGATGCTGGTTTCCTAGCACATCATTACTGTTGGGTTGAATAATTCAATTAATTTTTCTTTCACACCTGCAGAAATTAATGAATGTCAATCTAGTCCATGCAAAAATGGTGGAGTCTGCAAAGACCAGCCAGGGTCATTTATCTGTCATTGTTCTGAAGGCTTCGTTGGAATGCAGTGTGAAATGGGTAAATAATGAATGAATGAATGAATGAATGAATGAATGAATGAATGAATGAATTCTAAGAAAGTTCTTAGAACTTCTAATATTACTTCTTACTAACAGTGGAAGATAAACATCTTTGTGTTGTTTGATCTGTCTCATAAATATGCTTTATTCAGTATAAATGTTCAATTAACTATTACAGTAAAATCATAGCTATTTTAATAAGTTACTCGTTCTGACATTGGAGGGCAGGTTGTTTGTAGGTTGAATAAACCTTGTAGCTGGTTCTAGATTGTATAAGCTGTTGTATGTTGTATTAACCTTGTAGCTGGTCTATGCACAGCAGTATAAATTAGAACATATCACTGCTCTATTTCTTAGAAGATGCTATTTAGAGATTTACAGAATTTATACTTTTAGATTTCAGATAGCATGAAATAGTTAGCTAGTCATCTCACTGAGGATGAAGATAATCTGCAGTGACTAGGCTATGTTGAGCCAGCTGTAATGTATTTCTATTATTTTTAGATTTTTTTGTACATCTCCCCTGTCATGAGGCTATTCATTTCAGACAGTTAGATTGTCATTTCAGATAGTCCACTCAAGTTCTTAATGAAATTGAAACCTCTGAAAAGGTTATTAAAAAACAAATCTGAAATGGCAGTCACTTGGGCCCCATAAATATTTTCCTTAGGTTTTTGTAAAAATAACAGTGCCATTATCTGACATGAGTTTCCTCCACCAATTTCATACTCATTAAGCAGAAAGTATATGCTGCATTTAGAAAGTATTCAGATCCTCTTCACTTTTGTCAATTTTGTTATGCTGCAGCCTGATTCTACAGTTGTTTAAATTCATTTTTTTCTCATTAATCTCCACTCAGGATCCCACAATGACAAAGTGAAAACAGAATTTTAGAAATGTCTGTAAATTTTTTTTTTTTTTTTTTTTTTAAAAACCTGAGTAATTACATTGACATAAGTGTTCAGGCCCTTTGCAAATAACATGATTCTCTGATCTGCTGAAACTAAAATTGAACTGTTTGGCCTCAATTCTAAACATTATGTCTGGAGGNTAGGGTGCAGTTCTGCAGGCCACTTCAGCTGACTGTGATCTGCAGTTCAGTGGTTCAAATCTCACCGGCTCAAGGTCGACTCAGCCTTCCATCCTTCCGAGGTGGGTGAAATGAGGACCCAGACTGTGGGGGCAAGTTGCTGACTCAATTTGCTAAAAAAAAAATGTAAACCGCTTAGAGAGGGCTGAAAGCCCTATTAAGCGGTATAGAAGTCTAATAAATAAATAAAAGAGAATATCCTAAATATAGGAGACTTGTTGCTAGGACAAGCAGTTATCTAGGACCAGGAGTGGTCCCCCAGCCTATTACCATGTTGGCCAGTTCTGAAGAGAGTTAAAATGTGGAATGTTTGCAGAGCATCTGTTTGCCTGTTTCCATTCTGAGCAGTTTGGTTCAGACAAAGCTAGTATCTCAGTCCTACATTACAGCCAGCAGACATAGCACTTGCGAACTCAAGGACATTATTGTGTGGGCAATTCTTGACAGAAGAAAGGTGGTAAGATAATGCTGATATGGCTACAAGACATAGATATTGAATAGGTAGGGTTTGTAATGAAGGAAAAGCAATTCCCTTTATCATCCTGTACAAATAATAGGAAACTCCTGTTATCTACTGTAATCAATGGCACCTACAGATGACTGATGTAATATCCTTAACTGCAAGTATCATTTAACTATATAAAGCTTGCTGCTATATAAATCAAGCATTATGCTTATGAAGATACCTGTACCCTGGAAGTGATTTAGGTTTCTGAAAGCCACACTTCATGTCTCTCATTCAAATGAGCTTGGATACGTTTGGCCTGAGGCTTTGCCATCTCAAAGTTTGGCTGAAACATGTTGGGGAGGGGGGAATGAGTTCCTGATTCATCACATCCTACTGGATAGTTTTTCCTCATCCCTGAAGAGACAAATTGACTGGCGTGACATATTGTGGCTTTTCACTCCTTCATTCATGCTTGGTCCAGATAAAAAGTCTTCATTGAATTTAAATAGAGAATTTGAGATTTATAAACTTACAAAATGGTAGGGTTGCAATCATGCAGCTTTATGGAATAATTGGTTCTTCATGGACAATTCTTCATGGACAATTCCTACATATTTCTATAACATCTTACATGTTCCACATAGGTTTTTTTTTAAATCTTAGCTCAAATTGGCACTCTACCAGAGATATTAATCTCCTGTAGAATAAATATATATGTATTTACTCTGATTTAAAGTTTGAGCCATATATAGTTGCACTGTCAGTTGTACCACCCTATGATGTTTGGCATTCATAAACCTGATTTTCAGACATTTTAGTTATGTCTCTGATCTTACAGTCTTCCTTCTGTGAGATTATAAAGATTGCAAGTTTCTAGCAATAGCTTTGGTTTGCAAAAGTCAGTATCTTTTTTTTATTGTTTCAGGTTTGATTTTTCTGTATTTTAAATATTGTACCAGTGTTTTATTGGTGCAGAGGGGGGAGAGAAGAATGAACGAACTACATTTCCATACGGAAATGCTCACTGCTCACTATTATCAGCACACATAACAGCCAACAATGATTACAGTAACAACAATAATTATAATTATAATACAATAATATAAGTATAAGTATACTACATTTCCGTAAGGAGTTTCTGCTCACTGTTATCAGCGCACATAATAACCAACAATGATTATAACAACAATATTTATAATTGTAACACAATAATATAATTATAACAATTATTATAACAGCAACAACAATAATAACCAATAATGATTCTTCCCTACAGTAAAGAGCTGCTAATAAAATTCCAAAGGGAGGTAATTCTTCTTAAAGAAGGGATGAAGCATTCACTCCCCAGGGTATATGCTTCAAGTGTACTAAAGCATCAGAAAAATCTTCCAGAATTTTGGAAGCTCTCTTTTACAGTGACATTATGTGTACAGGTGTAAGGTCCATTTGTAACTTTTAACAATTACTTGCACTGAGTTGTAGCAGTTCTCTGGTGTTTTGGATGGATGTCTTAGTTCCACTTCGGGTTGTTGGGGTTTGAATCTAGAAATGTTTGTATCACATATGGCTCTTCTCATCCAGTGAGAAGTGTGTTTTGGGGAGAAAAGCAGATATTGCAATTGATTTCTCCTTTTTTTCTGTTTACTTATTTCTGTTAAAAACCAACATTGTGCAACCCTGAATTCTGATTATTGGAAGGGAGGGTTATTTTTAAAATGCACAATTTTTTATGTTCAAACTGATAATACCCCATAATCTATAAACATATAATTTAAGAAGCAAGAATGTGGCAATCTCTTTCCAGATGCTTTCTAGGCATCAGATTTTGCATTGCAGATAGGTGATGCTTGTTTCTTTTACTTTATTTTACAGAAATCGATGAGTGCACATCTCAACCCTGTCTGAATGGGGGATTGTGCAAAGATCAAATTGCCCATTACCTTTGCTTGTGTAAAGCTGGCTATACAGGAAACAACTGTGAGTCAGGTAAGAGAACATGGAAACATCTTTGCTAGGAAATTTAATATCATTATTTATTATTGCTAGGAAATTGTTTAATATCATTATTTATTAGTGAATTACATTTCTCATTGGTTCACAATTCTATTAATACTTTGGAGCCTTTGATCTCAAAAGCAGGACTACTACATATGGGGTGCCAAAGTCAAAATGACCACTAGGACATGACAAAGAGATTCATAAAATCCCAACACTTTCCTACCATCTAGTGCACGTCCAATTTTTGCAGCCCATATATGATAGCTATACCTGAAAGCTTTCCTAGAACATTACGTTGTAAGAAGTTGACAAAACTCTATGAAAGAATGGGCAAGATTCTTTCTGGGGAAACCACCCAGAGTCACTTGGTAGCCACTCATTGTTATTGGACTAAGTTGGATGGCTATATAAATTGAATGAATGAATGAATGAATGAATGAATGAATATAAAAATTTGCATGCAGGTTCTTAGGCAATTTTTGTTAGTTTGTCCATTACAATTCACTGCAATCAAAGGGCTCCTGGCATCTTCCAAGCAAAAAGTTAATCAAAACATCTATTCAAAGTACAATTCAAGTAAACATTTTAAAATCTACATTTAAAATCATAACCCACAATCATCGATAACAATCACAATAACAAAAAGAAAAAGAGAATAGAATATGGTTCCATGACATACCGAACTGAAACATTCTCCAAAAAGCTCAAACGTTTATCTCTGTCTAAAAGGTATCGGGGAAAGAGCCAGTCTGATCTCTTAGAATAGAATAACAGAGTTAGAAGGGACCTTGGAGGTCTTCTAGTCCAACCCCATGCCTAGGCAGGAAACCCTACACCACTTCAG